GAGTTTCCTGCCGACGGGGTGAGGACCGTGCTGCCTCAGAAGGAGCGGGGGCTGAGGGGTCTAGAGGAAGCTGCACGGGGCGAGGGCAGGCCTGACGGTGGAGGTGCCCTTGCTCCGCAGGAGACGGCGGCGCACGAGGAGGAGCGCAGGAAGGAGCTGCAGGCGCAGGAGCAGCAGAAGAAGCTCTTCGAGGGCCTCAAGTTCTTCCTGAACCGGGAGGTGCCCCGTGAGGCCCTGGCTTTCATCATCAGGTGGGAAGGCCCACAGCACTGGCCCTGCCGCTCTCCGGGCTGGGTCCTCCTGCCCAGGGCAGCCTGGGGGTCCTGGGAGTGGGGAGGGGACAGCTGTGTCCTAGGAGGGTGATCTTGGGGGCCAGCGGGTCCCAGGCAGCACCTCATGCCTGAGTACTTTCATGGGCTCCCCTTGTGCCTGTAGGAGTTTTGGGGGGGACGTGTCCTGGGACAAGTCTCTGTGCATCGGGGCCACCTATGACGTCACGGACTCCTGCATTACCCACCAGATTGTCGACCGGCCCGGGCAGCAGACCCCTGTCATCGGCAGGTAGGCCCCCAGGGCCCTCGCCTTTTGGGGTTCTGAGTGCAGAGGTCTGCGGGTGGAGTGGGGCCGCAGTGGCCCCTGACCCGTCTCCGCTGCCGCTGCCAGGTGCTACGTGCAGCCCCAGTGGGTGTTTGACTCTGTGAACGCCCGGCTCCTGCTCCCCGTGGCCGACTACTTCCCCGGGGTGCCGCTGCCCCCACACCTCTCCCCCTTCGTGTCCGAGAAGGAAGGAGACTACGTGCCCCCTGAGAAGATGAAGCTGCTGGCCCTGCAGCGGGGCGAGCACCCAGGTGAGGGGGTGGGGCTGGGCCGGGCGGGCGGGCCCCTCCGGGCTGGTCTGGGGATGGGGCCCCAGGGTGTTTCCCTTCTTGGCTACAAGGTGGCAAGCTCCAGAGGACAGGGCAGCAGGGCACAAACCCCGCTTTGGAGTGAGGTTTAGGGGACGGGGACGTCTGTGTTCTACAGCCTGCTGGTGATGTTCAGAGTAACTGGGCACAGAATGGGGTCTGGGAGTTGTCACTGTTCACATAGGAGGCGGCAGAGCTTGGGTGGGGGCCTGGGGTTTCCTCTGAAGGCAGCTGGGCTGGGAGGAGAGATGCCAGAGGGGGCGTGGCTGGGGCAGCCCTGCGCTGCCATGGAATGTCCCCGGGGCTGAAGGGGGGGCGGGGGTGGGGCTGGTGCACCAGGTGAAGAGCAGGCTCCCAGGGCGTTCTGCAGCCATCGGCTGTTTATAGGAAATTTGAATGAATCTGAAGAGGAGGAGGAGGAGGAGGAGGAGGAGGATGGTGATGGTGACGAAGAAGGAGAGAAGGAAGAGGAAGAGGAGGAAGATGTGGAGGCTGGCTCAGAAAAGGAGGAAGAGGCCCAGCTGACAGCTCTGGAGGAGCAGAGGATGGAGGGGAAGGTACTGGGGGGGGGGGGGCAGCTGTGCCCAGAGGGCAGGAGCCAGGGGCTGCGGGGTGGGTGGGGACCTGCACCCACTAGCTTCCACCTGTGTTCTCAGAAGCCCAGGGTGATGGCGGGCACCGTGAAGCTGGAGGACAAGCAGCGGCTGGCCCAGGAGGAGGAGAGTGAGGCCAAGCGCCTGGCCATCATGATGATGAAGAAGCGGGAGAAGTACCTCTACAACAAGATCATGTTTGGCAAGAGGCGCAAAATCCGGGAGGTGAGTCCCTGCCGCCTGCAGGCTGTGGCCCCGCAGGTGAACTCTGAGGCCAGCCGGCTCGCTGGGCGTCTGTGGGCCTCTCCTGCGAGGTTGCCGCCTGGCCCGGCCCACCTTCTGAGGCCCTCTCCCAGCCTGTGTGGGCATGGCTTCAGCCTCCCGCCTGCCCACTGGCTGTGGGGAGTCCGCAGGGGTCTGGGGACAGATCTGTCTCGGGACTCGGCCTGCTTTTATGAAGGACCATTGAACAGAAGTGCCTGAAGCCAGGGGGGCAGCGGGAGGTTTTGCCTAAGCTTCTATTTTGTTTCCTCTTAATCACAAAGCCACATATGTTCATTGCGGGGGGGAAGGGGGTGGGGAAGGGAGGGGAAGGGAGGGCGGAGGAGGTTTAAACAAAAATCACAGTTCTGTGCTTGGGAGTGGCTCGCCGTCCTGCCCTCGGGTGACCTGTAGTAGCAGCCCCGGGTCCTTTGTGCATGAAATAACACAGGTATTACTTGGGAGGCGTCGAGCTACGTACAGCATGGGGCAAAATAGGCTTATAGCTGGGAGTACACGGAACTCAGAGTTCGTTCTTGTGGTGGTGGTACTGTTTTCCCTACAAACTGCGGGAGCCTCCTCTGGCCCATGCCCTGCGTGCATTGGCTGACAGTGATGATTTAACCAGAGCATGAACTTCATACAGGACGCCAGCTGTGCCCTGCTGCTGGGATTAGATTCTTCTGTTTGTGGACATTCTTAGAAAACCCTGGACTGTCCCTGCCCCCCTCCCAAGTCTCTGTAGGGGTCACCTTAGGAATATGATTGCCGGGTTGGAAGGCCTGCCTGTTCTGTAAAGACATCCCAGGTGGCCCCGCGTCCCCTCTGCTCGCTTCCCCCCATCACGGCTGGGTCTCCCCCTTTGTCCTCACAGGCCAACAAGCTGGCGGAGAAGCGGAAAGCCCACGACGAGGCCGTGAGGGCCGAGAAGAAGGCCAAGAAGGCAAGGCCGGTGTGAGTGGCAGCGGCCGTTGGTGGGCCAGGCCAGCGCGGGATAGCTGGGCTTGCACAGGCAGGCGAGGACCCAGCCAGGTGGCAGAGCGGAGTCCCGGAGTCTCTGCTGTTTCCATCCCCTCCTCCCCCTGCCGGCCTGGCCGCCTCTCATGCTTCCGGCTGGGCCATGGGCAGCCCGGCTCCATTGGGTGGAATTCTGACAGAGAAGAGGCGCCTGCGCCCCACTGTCTCCCAGGAATCAGCAACACGGGGAGCAGGACCCCACCAGCCCTTCACCAGCGGCTCCCATTCACTCTGGCTTTCTGCAGCCCTCCCCCCTGTACCCACGCCCCCCCCCCACACACACACGTGATTCTCCGGGTGCTGTGATGGAGGGTGGGGAAGCATTTGTTATTAAACGGCTGGAGTCTTGCAGCCAATTGAACTCTGTGTTCATGAGCCTTCCTGAGGTTGGAGAAGAGCCACCTGGTGAGTGCCCTGTGCTCTAGGCTGCACACCCGGATGTTCACAGAGAAGGGCCTGGCCGCCGCTCCAAGCTCCCTGGATCCCAAGGGCCCCTTTGGGTCCGAGGATGCCAGAAGGTGGGTGCGTGGGTTCTGGGTTCGGATTCTGAAGGCAGTCTGCCCTCAGTTCCCAGTCCAGCCCCTTTTCAGTCTGACCTTGCTTCCGCACGTAAAATCAGGAGTAGAAATTCTGGGCCTGCTTCCCAGGGACGTGCGGAAGGATTCCATGACAGGCAGACTCCGTGGTGTTGGATGGCTAATAAAGTGCTCAGTAAACCGGCTGTGGTGGTCTTTACTTCCTGCTGGAGTCAGCCCAGCAGGTAGGCGCCCGTGCCTGAGGATCTGTGGGGTCTGGGCTCTTGGACAGGACGGCCGAGTAACCCCGTGTGGATGTAACAGCGGCCCAACTTGTTACCCTCGCTGGGCCATCCCTACAGCTTCCCACCCGACCTTGGCAATGCCCTTGCTGAGGCCCAGGGGGACAAGCCCTTGCCTGGGACTGCCAGTGCCTCATGGAAGAATCAGGGCTAGAAACTAGGCCCAGACCCTCCTGGGTCGGGCAGGGAGTTTCTGAATAGCCCTCCCCCCAACCCCCCTCCCAGGCTGGCCCAGCGGGCTGCGTGCTGTCAGGAGCATGGGCCAGGACAAAGAAGTATGGGTTGGGACCTGGTCACCTTCACATTGAGGCACTTGAAGGAGAGCCTTGGCCCTTGGCCCCTCGCTGCTCAGACTCTAGAAGTTTTCTGGGCAGTGGCTGCAGGCCCAGCCTGTGGAGGGGAAAGGCGGGAGCTTGGGCGGCTCTGGCTGAGGGAGCAGAGCCCAGGGCCCCTGTCTGGCTGTAGGGGAGGCTGTGTTCCATCTCGGATGCTCATGGTGGTGGGCGGTGCTTCCACAGGCAGGGCCAGGCCCCTGGAGGCAGCACCCAGTGTCCTGGGGCGGGGAGGGGGGGGGGGCGGGACCTGCCTGGGTGTAGGTGCATCCCAGGGCCATGGCACAGAGTGCCAGGGCAAGGCTGGAGGGCAGGCCCATCAGATACGGAAAAATCTGGCAGCCGTGATGTGGAATTTTCCCCATTCCAGAGTCGCCCAGTGACGGCGGGGGCGGTGGGGCTGTGACGCGGCCGGGACCCACTGGGCGTCCAGCTACTTCGGCGCTGCCTGCAGCTAGAGCTGAGCATTCTCGGTTGTGGGTGGGCAATAATGTCCCTTTCCTTGGCCCTCTGGTGCATGCCCCGGGCACTGTGCTCAGCTCCGATGGGCGCTGTGGAGAGCTGGGGTCAACTGAGACCAAGTGTCTGAGCAGTGGGAGAGGGGTCCCTTGCCTGAGCTTCCTTCGGGAATTCTGGCACCACCCCCGCCCCGTCCCCCGCATTCGTCTACATCTCAAACAAGTGTATCCCAGCCTGCGCTGACTCTGAGCAGGGGACCCAACCTCCCATTGAGCCCTCGGGGCTCCAGAACTCCCCATAGAAGTTAAGCAGCTCGTCTAGCCGCCTCCTTCCCAGAGCTGGGCTGCCCGCACCACCACCACGCCACCCGTTTCCTGGGCACCCTCGAATCCCCTCGGGCTAGGAGCTCAGCCGAGCCTCAGGGTCCGGCGGTGGGACAATGGCCCCGTTGGCGCATCCGAGACAAATGCGCCTTGTTGGGCCACTGGCGGGGGCGCGATGCTGAATGCGGCTTCTGTGCGCCCTGGGCGCGCGCCGAGGGCCCGGGAGGGGCCCGGGGCCCGGGGTGCCCATTGGCTGCAGAGCCGGGGGCTGGGCGAGGCTGCCGGCCGCACCTGGCCGAGCGAACGCGATCCGATCCGGCGGGCGCGGCGGCGTCGGGGGGCGGGGCGGGAGCATGGCCCAGGCCGGGCGGAGCAGGGGGCTCCGGTGGGTACGCCCCGCCGCCTAGTAAGCGCCCGGGCGGCGCGGCCCGGGCCGAGCCATCAAGCCCACGCCCCAGGAGGGGACAGGTACGTACTGGGGTGCACCCTGCCTCATCGCCCCAACCTCCAAATTGCAAGTCAGACCGGACTCTCAGACCCGAGTGGTTTAGGAGCGCGCTGAACTACAGCTTCGGGCCGGTGGCTGGGCTGGGGCCGGGGAGGGCGCAGGTGGGTCCTCACCCTGTCCTTGGTGTCTTCCCAGGGTCCCCCGTTTCCAGGGTTTCCCCATTCAGTCCACAGGGGATGGGTGGGGCTGGAGCTGGGCTGGAGCTGGAAGTCCATTAATGATTAATCTTTGGCCCAGCAGCCTGTGCTGGGAAGAGAGGCAGGAATCTCCCCTCTGCCCCCCAGCCTTCCCCCAGAAGCGGGGTTGTCCGAGCAGGGGCTGGGGACCTGGATAAGGGAGGGATCCCCTCTGCTTGGAGAAGGCCCTGACCTGTGCCACAGAGAGGCAAGGCCGCCAAGGAGAGGCTTGTGGGGATGGGACTAACGCTGGTCTCCAGGAGGGGCCCCCCGAGGAAACCCAACAGTTCCCCTGTTTCCCAGACCAGCGCCCAGGAAAGGGGACCAGCTTGGTGCCAAGCCAGCTGTGGTAACAGCTCGGAGCGAGACCGTGGTCCCTTCCCAATGGGAACCCTCTCCCCACCTGCCTCGAACCGGAGAGGTGATGGGTGCACATCTGGCAGCCATAACCCACACCGGTGAGAGGGTGGGAGAGAGGGAGGGAGGGAGAGAGGGTGACAGGCCTGACACCCGATCGCCTGGGTTGCCGAGGTGACAGGGGCCATGGAAATCCTCAGAAGGACAGTCCAGTTGGGAGAACCCAGCCTCTTCCTTTACGAAGGGAGTAGCCCGAGGCCCAGAGAGGGTCAGGCTGTGAGCGGGCCTGGGCCAGGGCAGCCCCGATCAGCTGCCCTGTGCCTTGCCCTGCAAAGGAGATGTGGCCACTATGCCCGGGATCCCGAGGGGAAACTGAGGCTCAGGGAGGTCCCGAGACTTGCCCGAAGTCACACAGTTCAAAGGTGGCTGCAAAGTGGGGCCCCTCTGGGGTCTGAGCCTCTCGAAGCTGTCTGGGCTGCCCCCAACCCCCGCCCCCTCGCCTCACCCCCTGGCTCCCAGCTCTGCCTGACACTCGGGCCTGAGCAGGCTGCTACGCGGGGAGCAGAGACAAGAGAGCCCTGTTCCCAGCTGCCACCTCGAGCAGATCCCTGCCTGAAGGAAATGCCCTGCGGACAGAGCAGCTTGCCTGCCTCCCCTGCATCCCCTCGTCCGATGGGTCAGGTCTGATGGTTGAGAGCTTGGGTCTGAAGCCCTTGTGCCACCCAGCGAGGGAGGAGTGTGTCCCCTGTGGTCCCTCCCTCTGTCTGGGGTCTAAGGGACTGAGTGTGCCACCCGGTGGGAGGGCCATTAACTGGGAGAAGGAGGCCCAGATGGTGGAATTCCGGCATGGCAGCGCAGGCTCTTTTTTTTTTTTTCTTTTTAAATATATTTTATTGATTTTTTAACAGAGAGGAAGGGAGAGGGATAGAGAGTCAGAAACATCGATGAGAGAGAAGCATTGACCAGCTGCCTCCTGCACACCCCCCACTGGGGATGTGCCCGCAACCAAGGCACATGCCCTTGACCGGAATCGAACCCGGGACCCTTCAGTCCACAGGCCGATGCTCTATCCGGTTTGGCCAGGCTCTTTTAAACAAATATTTTTATTGATTTGAGAGAGGAAGGGAAAGAGTGAGAGACATAGAAACATCAGTGATGAGAGAGAACCATTGATTGCCTCCTGCACGCCCCCACTGGGGATCGAGCCCACAACCCGGGCCTGTGCCCCGACCGGGAATGGAACCGTAGCCTCCTGGTTCATAGGTCGACGCTCAGCCACTGAGCCACGCCGGCCGGGCTATTGCTCTACTTCGTCTCCTCCAGCTGCCCTGTGAGAGTCGCCTCCGGCCACAGGAATCAGCCCTGGGCGCTCACCCCACCACTTCCCCTGCCAGGGTCCTGTTCCTGCGGGCACGCCGAGCACACAGCACGAGGCCCATTAGTCAGGGAGCCATTCGCGGGGAGCAGTGGTTCGTCAGCACGTTCTGCAGCCGATGGCTTTGGAGGCCCTTGGTCCTGGTCTCCTCGGGGCATTCCCCCGTCCTGTCTAGACCTTGGGAAAAACCAATAGCGTCTGGATTGGCCCCAACCCCTGGCGGACCTGGGCCACCATCCCTCACACAGGGGAGGAGGCGGGATTCTGGACTGTACTGTTCGATGGAGGACTCAGAACTTGTGAAATCTCATCAGACCCATCCTCCCAGCCTTGGTCAGGTGCTTCCCTCAAGAAGGCCTTGTGGGATGACCTGCTCACCCTCTGGGCTCCCCCAGATTTCAGACAAATGTTTCTCTGGTCGCGTCTCTTTGAGCCCTGGTTTTTGGCAAGTCCGAGTTTGGACTCTGTCCGGCTGTCTGCCCTCTGCTGACTGTGTGACCTTGGGCAGGTGAATTCCCCTCTCTGAGCCTTAGTTCCTTCCCCCAGGGAGTGGGGTAATGGGGGTGTTTGAGGCACAGGACAGTGTTAAATGAGATGTGATTCAAGGAGCAATCAGCCTCCCCACCCCAGGGGCTTCCTTGTCCCTCCCCGTGGCCTTTGAGCCTGTCACGGGCTCTCTGCAGGGCTCTGCGGCTACGTGTGTCCTTGGCCCAAGGACACCAGGGACCTTGCTGAGCCCTTGGATGAAGGATCTGCCCAGCCGCTGAGGTCCAGGGAGGGTCGGGGGCCACCCAAGGGGCAGAGGGTGCACCAGCAGGGTACAGGGACCTACCACCTGCTGTCCCCAGGGAGGGAACTCATGAATATTCACAGCCCGGAGCGGGAGGGAGCCAGCCGGCTTATTACTGGGTGTCATTGGAGCGTTCCTATTTCCCAGTGACCGCAGAGGCAGCCTGGGAGTCGGATGTGGCTCAGGCAGGGAGAGCAAAGGGGTAGCCAGCCCGTCAAGGCCCGAGGTAAGTGTGTCTGCCCCTGTCCCTGCCCTGAGGTCCCCGGGGCCAAGAGCTGCCCGGTGGTGATGCTCTGGGCCAGGAGGCTTTCCACCCTGGCCTGGGCTCCCTGTGCGCACGCGGTGGGGGATGAGTCCTGTTTCTCCTTCGTTCCGTGAAAGGTGCTCGTCCAGCCAAGCTGGAGGATTGCTGGGCCTGGCCTGGAGCCAGCCACTGGCACAGATGGAGGGCAGCGTGGCCGGGGTCACCCACAAGGGCAGGAACAGATGGGATGGGCTAGGAAAGCAGCACCGTCTGCCCCGCGTCCCTGGGACTATCACCACCGTAGGCAGGGGACGAAGGGGATCCGGTTCTAGTCCCGTCTCTGCTGCTGCTGTGCTGTGTGACCTTGAGGGTGGCCCTGCCCTCTCTGAGCCTCGGGCCACCCTGAGGTTGTCCTCAGTATCTCATGGACTAGGACCCGGGGCTGTCAGTTGCCTGCAATCCTCCATCGTGGGCGGGCAAGTCGGCATATACCTCGAAGGGACCGTGACTGGGATCCCGGGAGGGTAATAGTAATGATGATAATGACCGTGGTGGCAGCCCATGCTCAGCGCGTGTCTGCTCTGTGCCACCCCTGGGTCTGAGGATGGGCACTTGAGACTGTAATAGTTGCTGTCCGTTATGCACTCTGAGCACTGGAGGGAGAGTCCTCTTGCTCTGCCCTTTTCTCTTTTCAATATATTTTTATTGATTTCAGAGAAGAAGGGAGAGGGAGAGGGAAACATCAACGATGGGAGAGAGAATCATCGATTGGCTGCCTCCCGCACACCCCCACACTGCGGATTGAGCCCACAAGCCAGGTATATGCCCCAACGGGGAATCGAACGGTGACCTCTTGGTTCCTGGGTCGATGCTCAACCACTGAGCTACACCCGGCCGGGCTGTTGCTTTACTCTTAACGTCTCTCCCAGCGTCCCCGTGAGAGTGTCTCCAGCCACAGGACACTCACCCCACCGCTTTCCTGCGGGCACGCTAAGCACACAGCACCGAGGCCCATTAGTCAGGGAGCCATTCGTGGGGAATGTGGTTCCTCAGAACGTTCTGCAGCCGATGGCTCCGGAGACCCTTGATCTTGATCTCCGAGGGGGGATCTTCCCCGCTCTGCTCCCACAATTGCAGGTCCTTCTCCTTCCTCAGTCTTTCCCTGGTGACTCCAGCTGCTCCTCCAGCCTCAACTCACACCTCTGTGCCCCCGGCCCGCAGCAAGTGTGTCTCCCGCTCCCCCGCACGGAGGTGCGATGGTCAGCTTTGGGGGTGCAGAGGGTTTGCACACCACCCTGGGATGGGGGGAGGGTTGGCATCATCATTTTGGAGGGGATTTAAGGCCCAGAGAGGGGCACAGACTTGCCTCGGGCATCCAGCAAGGAAGCAGCAGAGCCGGGACTCAAACCCAGGCCCCTGGCCCCCAAGTGCTGGCGCAGGTGTTGTCCACCCTGGCCACGTTCTGCCCTGAGAGTCGTGAGGGTCCATTTGTCAAACGTTCACCGGGTGCCAGGCTCGGAGCGCTCGGGGCTGAATCACCATCAGGTTTGCCTGGGGCTGGGCACGGAGGGCATCCCTCCTCCCACACACCTGGGCCCAGGTCAGTCGTGATAATAATAATATGTATTGATTTCTGCCTGTGTACATGCATTCTCCCATTGAAATCTCGCAGCCTCATAATTATTCCTCTCCCCACACCCCCTACCCCCACCAGCCCGGCTCCTGCCTGCTAGTGCGCCCGTCGCTGGGCCTCAGTCTACCCAGGGGCTCTGCCTGGGATCACTAGGGTGCTGCCTGCCCTGATCTTGCTGTTGTGCCCATTGTGCATGGGAGACGGAGGCTTGGAGAGGCTGTGTGCTGTGCCCAAGTTCACAGCGGCCAGGCCGGAAGGGAACCAACCTCCCGTCTTGGGTGCCTCTGGCTGCTGAGGCCGGAGGGACCAGCCACCAGGGCCCTCCCTGCTTCCCCACCCTCTGCCCTGGCTGCCCCGGGCCCAGCCCACGGAGGCCAGACCCTGCTGTGCTGCTGAGCCTTCCGGATGGCACTTGCGGTTGCACACACCCTTCTTCCCAGAGGCTGGGGGCTGGGCCTGGGCTGCACCACACACCTGGGAGCTGTGCGCCGGAGGCTGGCAGACCTGGGTGTGAATTCCAGCCGCGAACCTGCCTTGTCTGTCCAGTGACCCTGGGCCAGTCACATCACCTCTGGGAGCCTCAGTTTCCCCATCTGCAGAGCGCAGGTGACAGTGGGGTCTGCCTCCCAGGGTGGCCGAGTGGAGTCAGTGAGATGTTCTGGAGAAGCCGCTGAGCCCAGAAGGTGGGACGGCCCAGGGCCCCCCTCCCGCTGGGTTGGAGGGAGCCCCAGTGGGAGAGTGAATGAATGAATGAATGAATGAGTGAGTGAGTGAGTGAGTGAGGGGGCTGGGAACACCTGGGCGGGGCCAGACGGGGCCTGATTGACGGCTCTGGGAGCCGGTCTGCCCCCTGCTGCCTGGCCTTCTGCTCGGAGCTTCTCAGCCTCCCTGAGTTCCTTCCAGAAGGTGCCCTGGTGAGTGGGGCTGCCGGTGGGGACGGGGCTGGCGGTTTTCCGAGGGCAGGACTCCTGAGCCCTCCTCACTCCGAAGTCAGGGGAGCCGAGGCCCCAGGTCCTGCTCGGGGTTTGGGCCGGAGTCTGAGGCGCTGGCTGGGCCCAGGACCCCGGGGAATGGAGGCCCCAGGGGGCGCTGGAGGCCTGGTGCAGGTCTGTTTAGGGGGGGAGGTGTGCAGTGGCCGCTCCTTGTTCAGGAGGTACAGCCCGCGGGTCCCCGGGGCCCAGGAGGGGCGGTCAGGGGCTCCTGCGACTGGACCCCAGGACAGGGCGGGGGGTTCCAGGGCCTGAGGCCACGCCTCTCCTTCCTGGGGCCCCTCCATGACCAGACCCTCCTAGCCGGTACCCCTCCACACACACAAGCCTTCTCATCTAGTATTTAAATCTATTTTATTGCCTTTTTCTGATTAAAAAGGTCATAAAATGCAGCCATTGCCCTGGCCAGCTTGGCTCAGTGGATAGAGCGTCGGCCTGCGGACTGAAGGGTCCCGGGTTCGATTCTGGTCAGGGGCGCGGACCTCGGTTGCAGCTCCCGGCCCTGGTCGAGGGCATGCGGGAGGCAGCCAATCGATGTGTCTCTCTCACATCCGTGCTTCTCTCTCTCTGTCTCCCTCTCCCTTCCATTCTCTCTAAAAATCAAACAAAAAAATATCCTTGGGTGAGGATTAAAAAAAAAAAAGAAAGAAAGAAAAAGCAGCCGTTGCAGGCCTGGCCGGGAGGTCCAGGGGGCTGAGTGTATTCTCAGACCCCGAGAGGCTGCGGGTTTGAAACCGAGTCCGGGCACACGCCTAGGTTGTGGGTTCGATCCCCGCTGGGTCCCACGTGTAACTTTTCCAGGGGAAGTACGTGGGGTTCTTTCCAGGCGGGTTACTTGGCCTCTGCCCCCAGGGACCGTGCTGACGTGACAATGCATGTAGTTACCGGGCAGCATGCGTGACCTCTTGTGGCCTCAGGGACCGAGGGCCCCATGCCAGGCGCCAGGACGGGAGTGGAAAGTTTTGTGCCTGGGCCCCTCGCTGGGCAGCTGGTGGGGAGGGTGCCGCCCGAGACGGTGGGACTGGCTGGGCTTTGGAAAGGAGGGGGGTCGTGGCCTCTCCCAGTCGTCAGCCCCAGCCCCGGGCCTGGGGGACGGGCGATGGGACAGGGTCTTCTTTTCCTTCTTCGGAAACGATTTCTTTATGAAGCCGAAAAGGGTGTAAAAAGGAAACATCCATGTACCCAACTCAGCTTCAAAATTAAAACTGAACCCAGCGCCCTGGCCGGTCTGGCTCAGCGGAGAGAGCGTCGGCCTGCGGACCAGAGGGTCCCGGGTTCGATTCCGGTCAAGGGCACGGACCTCAGTTGCAGGCTGAGTCCCCAGCCTGGGCCCTGATCGGGGCTCGTGCAGGAGGCAGCCCATCGATGTGTTTCTCCCATATCGATGTTTCTGTCTGTCTTTCCCTCTCTCCTCCACTCTCTCTAAAATAATCAGGGAAAAAACGTCCTCAGGCGAAGATTAACGAAAAACAACAACAAACAAAAATGGAACTGAGCAGTCGAAACGTCTCCTTGCGCCCCCCCGCCCTCCAACTTCTCTCAGCGTTGGCGTTGCCAGCCGTCTCCGTGTGCAACCCTGTCACCACATTTCTCCACATGTGTGTCTCTCTGTCCGCATTCTGCTGGGGGGCCGAGCTGGTGAAGGCAGGGCCCAATGTCCAAGGCTGCCCCTCAACCCAGCCAGGCCTGGGGCAGTGGTGGGCGCTCCCTGGGGCCGGCCTCCTGACACTTGCCCTGCTGTGTGCCCCTCCCCTCCCCCCGCCAGGTGTCTGAGATGCCGCTGCCTCAGAAGAAGCGCTGGGAGTCCATGGCCAAGGGGCTGGTGCTGGGAGCACTCTTCACCAGCTTCCTGCTGCTGCTGTACTCATACGCAGTCCCCCCACTGCACGCTGGCCTGCCATCTACGTGAGTGGCCCTCCTGGGTGACCAAGGGGAGGGGTGGGCCTGAGGGGGCACCCTGACCATGCTATGCTGAGGGCAGAACTCACTATGTGAGCCTGGGTCTCAGTGTTCGCATCTGTGAAATGGGTATAATTTCAGAGCCTGCCTTATGCAGCAGGGGAATCAGGTAACACCATCTGTGTATATGACTTGGATTTTTATCAACTGAGGCTCCAACGGGGCTGAGAGAGGTGCGGGGGGCGGGGGGCGGGGCGGTGACTTGTCCATGAGCACTCGGCTGGCACAGGGCCTGGATTCAAACTGGGGTCTGTTGGCCTCCAAGTCTGGCTCCTAACCATGAGGCCATCCCACCTTCCCACGGGGCTGCTCAGCCAAGGCCTGGCACAGCCCCTGCCCTTAGTTGGGTGGTATTAAGTTGAACTAGAGGAAATTCCTGATAATTGATCATTTTGGGTCAAAAATGGACCGTTTCTGGCCTACAGAATTTCACGTGGTTAAACCCAATGCCAATTCATGATAAATGTACCAGGATGCAGTGGCCACAAAGGAGACAAGACCCAGCATGCTGGTCTCTCTCTGACCTCACGCCAACACCACAAAAAGAGTGTGTTTTTCCCCCATTTTACACATGAGGAACGTGAGGCCGGAGAGGCCAAAGCAGTGGCCGAGGCTCTGCCGCCCGGAGGAAGGCCCTTCCGGTCCCGTCCCCATCCTGGCTCCTCCCGCCACCACCGTCCCCAACAACCCTGGACACCAGGGCCTGAGGTCCCCACACCGGGGGGCCCCGGCCACCCCTGAGGCTCTCCCCACCCCTCTGTGCCCTGCAGGACCCCGGAGGGCACCGCGTCCTGCTCCCCGGCCCCGGGCGAGTCGGAGACGGCGAGCCCCGCCAACGGCTCCTCGTTGTCGTCCTCGTCGGGGTGCCGGCCCCGCCGTGACATCGTGTTCATGAAGACGCACAAGACGGCCAGCAGCACGCTGCTCAACATCCTGTTCCGCTTCGGCCAGAAGCACGGGCTCAAGTTCGCCTTCCCCAACGGCCGCAACGACTTCGACTACCCGGCCTTCTTCGCGCGCAGCCTGGTGCAGGACTACCGGCCGGGCGCCTGCTTCAACATCATCTGCAACCACATGCGCTTCCACTACGACGAGGTGCGGGGCCTGGTGCGGCCCAACGCCACCTTCATCACGGTGCTGCGGGACCCCGCCCGCCTCTTCGAGTCCTCCTTCCACTACTTCGGCTCGGTGGTGCCCTTCACCTGGAAGCTCTCGGGCCGGGACAAGCTGGCCGAGTTCCTGCAAGACCCCGACCGCTACTACGACCCCCGCGGCTACAACGCCCACTACCTCCGCAACCTGCTCTTCTTCGACCTGGGCTACGACAGCGGCCTGGACCCCAGCAGCCCGCGGGTGCAGGAGCACATCCTGGAGGTGGAGCGCCGCTTCCACCTGGTGCTGCTGCAGGAATACTTCGACGAGTCCCTGGTGCTGCTCAAGGACCTGCTGTGCTGGGAGCTGGAGGACGTGCTGTACTTCAAGCTCAACGCCCGCCGCGCCTCGGCCGTGCCCCGCCTGTCGGGGGAGCTGTACCGGCGCGCCACGGCCTGGAACGTGCTGGATGCCCGCCTCTACCGCCACTTCAACGCCAGCTTCTGGCGCAAGGTGGAGGCGTTCGGGCGCGAGCGCATGGCCCGCGAGGTGGCCGCCCTGCGCCGGGCCAACGAGCGCATGCGGCGCATCTGCATCGACGGGGGCCGCGCCGTCGACGCCGCCGCCATCCAGGACGCGGCCATGCAGCCCTGGCAGCCGCTGGGCGCCAAGTCCATCCTGGGCTACAACCTCAAGAAGAGCATCGGGCGGCGGCACGCACAGCTCTGCCGTCGCATGCTCACGCCCGAGATCCAGTACCTGATGGACCTCGGCGTCAACCTGTGGGTCACCAGGCTCTGGAAGTTCGTGCGGGACTTTCTGCAGTGGTGACGGCCCGGGGCCCATCCCGCCGGGCAGGGACGGGCCGGCCTCCCCCCAGCCCCTCCTGGTGCCACCTCGGTCCCCGGGGGAAGGCGGGGCTGCCGTGGGGATGCCGCCAGCCAGGTCTGTGCCCACAGCGTCAGTATTTGACTAATTATTCCTTTTTTTAAAAAAATTAAATCCCCTGTTCTGTTCTACTTCCTGCCTCCCCGTAAAGGGGAGACCTCAGAAGTAAAGGCATTTCATGTTTTGTTAATCAGCGTCCGTGGTGGTGACTGCCGGGGCCCAGGTGGGGGTAACCGGTAGGGACTGGGGACCCCAAGGGAGCATGGTGGGCGCCTGTGTGACGATGTCTGTGGGACGGAGCCCCAGGGGGTGGCAAGGGCTTGGAGTGTTACATGCTGAAGTCCCGTGTGGCTGAAGGACTCCCATGCGCTACCAAGATGAGGAAGATCGTGTGTGTGTGTGTGTGTGTGTGTGTGTGTAAGTGTGAGTGTGAGATGATCCAGGGGATATACCAGTTGCTTCCTCCCACTGAACACTGGTTGTGTGCCCAGCACAGGCTAAGTACCTTGTGAGCATTATCTCAATTCATCTTCATTGAAACTCAGTGACATGGGGACTGTTATTATTTTTAAAAAAATTTTTAATCCTCACCTGAGGATATTTTTTCCATTGATTTTTAGAAACAGAATGGAAGGGAGAGAGAGAGAAAAAGAGAGAGAAAGAGAGAGAGAGAGAGAGAGAGAGAGACATCGATGTGAGAGACACACATTGGTTGCTTCTGGTGCCCTCTGACTGGGCCCAGGGATCGAACCTGCAACCTGGGTATGTGCCCTTGACCGGGAATCGAACCCGTGACCCTTCGGTGTGCAGGATGATGCTCTAATCACTGAGCAACGCCCACCAGGGCCCCGGGGGACTGTTACTCTTGCATGCCAGAGATGAGGAAGGGAGCTCAGAGCGGGGAAGTCACTTGGCCAAGATCACACGGCAAGTAAGTGATAAGATTGGAGCCGGGGCGGGGGCAGGCAGAGCGTGTGGCCACGTGGGGATAGAGTCCGTGTGTGTGTGTGTGTGTGTGTGTGTGTGTGAGAGAGAGAGAGAGAGAGAGAGAGAGAGAGAGAGAGAGAGAGGGAGGGAGCTGGGGAGCACTCAGTGGGGGACACTGAGCTGTGGCGCTGAGCCCAGGCCACAGGTTCTAGCAGAAGCTCATTCATCTCACAATAATGCTTGCGGCAGGCACAGTAACTCCCGTTTTGCAGATGTGGGGACTGACATTCTGAGAAGGGACTTGCCCAAGGTCACACCTCAAACCAAGAACTAAACCACCTCCCTGGGGCCCTGGGGCCCTCGCATCTCCAGTGCCTGTTTACCCCGACTCTGCCTGTCTCCCCCCCACCCCCTGACCACTCCAGCTGCCCCCCGCCCCCGCTGGTGCCCCAACCCTACCTAGGCCCTGGGCTCCCCTTCCACCCTGGACTGTTTCTTTTCTTTTCTTTTTTTGTTTAAGAACACAAGTTATTGTTATTTTTAAATAGATTTTTATTGATTTCAGAAAGGAAGGGAGAGGGAGAGAGATAGAGACATCAATGAGGAGCCCTAGCTGGTTTGCTCAGTGGTTAGAGCGACGCCCTGTGGACTAAAGGGTCCAGGATTTGATTCCGGTCCAGGGCACATGCCCGGGTTGTGGGCTCAATCCCCAGTAGGGGGCGTGCAGGAGCCAGTCAATCAACGATTCTCTGTCATCAGATGTTTCTATCTCTCCCTCTCCTTTCCTCTCTGAAATCAATAAAAATATAAAAGAGAAAGATTCTTAAAATAAATAAAAGTAATCCCCAGAAGACAAAAAAAAAAAGAAAAAAAAAGTGATCCCCAAGGGTCTCTGCGGCTGCTTGCAGCTTGCAGCTTGCAGGAGCCAGGCTGCTCTTGCCACAGCGAGGCAGCAGGGGGCGCCATGGTGCCGAATTTGGTCTTGGTCAGTCCTGCTATTTCTGTCCAGATGGGGGGCCACGATGACCAGTCATCTGTAGGCCTGACATGTGAAAGCCAGAGCGGGGGTCATGCTGTCCCCGGGGAGAAATTCAGTGGAACCACCTGTTCCTCTCCACTGTGGGTTGAATTGTATCCCCTAAAAGGAGATGTTGGCCCTGGCTGGTACGGCTCAGTGGGCTGAGCATCAGCCTGTGCACCGAAAGGTCCCGGGTTCAGTCAGGGCTCGTAATTGCACGCTCCATCCTTGGTCAGGGTGCAACTGATCGATGTTTCTCTTTCATAGTGATGCTTCTCTCTCTCTCTCCCCCCCTCTCCCTTCTCTCTCTCAAATCAATAAAAACATTAAAAAAAAGAGAGAGAGAGGTTGAATTGCTAACTTCCCCGGTTCCCTCTAACTGACTTTATTTGGAAATACAGTTTTTGTTCATGTCTTCAAGATGAGGTCATGTATGTAACACTTTCAACAAAAAAATATTATTAAGAAAAAAAATAAAAGCAGTTAAAAAAAAAGAGATGAGGCCATGAAGGTGGGCCCTAATCCAATATGGTTGGTGTTTTTTGTTTATTTTAAAACATATTTTTATTGATTTCAGAGAGGAAGGGAGAGGGAGAGAGAGATAGAAACATCAATGATGAGAGAAAATCATGGATCGGCTGCCTCCTGCATGCTCCCCACTGGGGATCGCGCCCGCAATCCGGGCCTGTGCCCTGCCTGGGAATCGAACCGCCACCCCCTGGTTCATAGGTTGACGCTCAACCACTGCATCACACCAGCCGGGCTGAAGAATTCAATTGTTGTGAAAGGCGGGTGAATCAGCCCTAGGATATGCATGGGGCGGGGCGGCCGGTGGGGAAGTGAGACCCCGAGAAACCCTGCCGCAGTGCCTGTTTCAGCCCCCAAGCTGTTCCCTGGCCAAGTCACGCGTGGGTGGGGAGGCACGCAGGGAGGTGGTGATTCCGAGAGGTGAGTGAGCAGCTTGGGGTCTCCTCTCCAGCCCGGAGCCTGAGCCAGGGGCTGCCACTCTGCAGACAGGATGGTTTCTGGGTTCAAGGGCCCTGGGCCCCAAAACCCAGCTGCAATGGAGGACCCCGCTGCTCTGTGGTATCAACTACCCCATCCACGCTCACATCTGTCTTTGACACGGTCTCCCTGGGAACGGGTCAAAGGCCAGAGCCATTGGCCCGATAATGGTGGTGTCCACAGCTGGTCACACCTGCTCCCTCTGACACTGTTGTCCCTCTCAAAGCACCCACGCCGGGCTCCCCAGCCCCTCCCCCAAACAGAGGAGCAGCACAGGGAGAGAGAGAGTCCCACACACTGCCCACCTGCTGTTCCGTGGCTTGGGAAGGCCAGGGACCCCCCGGATTTTGTAGGGAAAGAGACCCACTGTGGCCCCAGATCCCTCACCCACTCTTCCCCCTTGTGCGTCAGGTGTTTGGGTCAGGTTCCCCTTGCCCCTCCCTCTCCCTCCCAGGCCCTTGTGGGAGCAAAGAGTCTGGGGGATGTGGTCATATCAGACCCCATCTTTCCCTGGAGTCACCCTGAGTGAGGGGAGAGCCAAGGAGACCCTCCCGCAGCTGTCCTGAGCCTAATCTCCACTCCCCGGGGCCCAGGCAGGAGCCCACCGCTGCCCGGGCAACTGGGCCAGGCAGACACTCCCTCCCGATCCTTCCTCCCAAGGTCACCCAAGCCCAGGCCTATGTATTCGGAGGAGTGTCCAGTGGCATCTGTCCAGCTAGATGTCCACAGGGTGGGCGCTATTTAGCCACGATGTGGGGCACAGCAGGCAGGACTCCTGCCAAGCCTGGTTGCACCCCAAAAATGGGGATGCCATTCACCCAGCAGGCTTTGTTTCGCTGGCAGGATCCAGGCTTGAATGAGGACTGCAGGAAGGGCACCTGTAGCCAGAGAGACATGCCAGCTGTTTTCCGAACCTCTGGCAGGTGGGAGGAGGAGGGACTGCCGTGAGGGAGCAGGTGTGATGTCAGGGTTACATCCCATGACAACACCCTCATTGCAGTCCAACTTCTCAGCCCACACACCACGGAAGACGGGGAGTTGTCCGTCTCCCAAAACACGGGCACCCAGATGGTGAGAACAAAGGTCCTCCACGCCCAGCAAGAGCTGTGCTGGGAAAACAGGGGCTGGAGGGGGCCGGGAGCCCCATGGCCTGGTGAGCACCTGGCCCTGTACCAACCTGCCTGGTCCCAGCCCTGGCTTTGCTGCTGGCTGGTGTGAGACCTTTAACGGTGCTTCCCTCGCCCGGCCAGCCTGGCTCAGTGGTTGAGCATCCACCTATGAACCAGGTTCGATTCCCGGTCAGGACACATGCCCGGGTTGCAGGCCCGCTCCCCAATGTGGAGCGTGCAGAAGGCAGCAGATCCATGATTCCCTCTCATCATTGAGGTTTCTCTCTCTCTCTCTCTCTCTCTCTCTCTCTCTCTCTCTCTCTCTCTCTCTCTCTCTCTCCCTCTCTCTTCCTCTCTGAAATCAATAAAAATATAACAGCCCTGACTTGTTTGGCTCAGTGGATAGAGCGTCGGCCGGCGGACGGAAGGGTCCCAGGTTTGATTCCGGTCAAGGGCATGTACCATGGTTGTGGGCACCTCCCCAGTAGGGGGTGTGCAGGAGGCAGCTGATCGAGGTTTCTGACTCTCTATCCCTCTCCCTTCCTCTCTGTAAAAAAAATCAATAAAGATTATTTAAAAAATAAATAAATAAAAATATAACAGAAAAGGTGAAGGGCTTAAGAAGTGCACATTGGCAGTTGCAAAACAGTCGCGGGGTGTGTCAATAAAGTATAGCGTAGGGAACAGAGTCAAGAATGTGACGTAGGGAACCAGGTGCTGGAGACATGGGGGAGCGGGGGCGGGGTGGCGGAAGACACCTCGCAGAGTGTGTGACTGCCAACCACTATGATGCGCGCCTGAAACTAATGCACGGTGATGTTGCACGTAAACTGCGATGGAAAAATAAAACTGTAAAACAATAGCCAGGTTACCTGTGTGACTCCCATGACCTGAGCTAATATTGACAAAGCCCTTAGAACAGGGCCTGGCCAATAAGGACTTCTCTTTGCAGGTGACCTGCTACCTGTGGCATTTTAGAAACACGGCTTCCTACGCCTCAGGAACTGGGGGACGTTGGGGAGATATTCCTTTTCTTGTCTGGCCCTCCTCGGACCCGTGGACTTGGTTTTGCATCCCAAAAGCATAAGGCATCTGTAACGTGATCCCGTCTCTTCCCAGTTGTTCTGTGGGTGTGGTTTTTTTTCCATGTCCTTATAAACGCTCCGGCAGCCACAGTCAGCACCAGGGTCTCCTGAGAAATTGCTTCCAATTTTCCTACTAACAAGACACAAACAACTTTAAACTGAAAATATTTTCCGTTACTGAGGACTATTCGTCAGCAAACTATCGAAGGACCCTAACGCATATTGTCAGGTGGTTTTCTAGAAAAGCAGAACCAATTTCCAGCCCTGCCAGCAACGTAGGAACGTCTCCTCTTCACCAACTTTGTGCTGTTAATCCTCATCCGGGGGTATCTTTCCCATTGCTTTTCAGAGAGGAAGGGAGAGGGAGGGAGAGATAGAAGCATCCATGATGAGAGAAAATCACGGACCGGCGGCCTCCTGCACGCCCCCTACTGGGGATCGAGCCCACCACCTGGGCACGTGCCCTCGACCGGAATCGAACCCAGGACCCTTCAGTCCACAGGCCCACGCTCTATCCGCTGAGCCAAACTGGCTAGGGCAAAATAAAGTTTACTAATTTATAAACTTCTAAATCACAAAAAGGTAAAAGAAACAGGTAAAATCCATTTTTATCAATAGAAGACATTAAATAATGAAACATTAAATTTTTTGGATATTAGGTCTCCAAAACGTGGTGTATATTTTTCACTGACATCTCCATTCCCACTAGTGGCAAGCCACTTCTCCCAACCTCAACTGCCACCTGTGGCTGGGAAGCCCAGATGGGTGGACGAAAGCCTGAGACGTGCAGAGGGCAAAGGTCTGCCAGCCTGGTCCCCCACGCCTTTACCTTCACCTCCCACCTGCTTCTCTCTCTGGGAACTTTCTGCTCAGCCAACTTGAACTTTCTCACCTTCCCCAGGGACCTTTGCTTGGCTCTCAGGTGCCATCCCAGACACCTGTGTCAACAGCCTCCCACCCCCTGGCCTTCCAACACCCCCCCAGACCCTCCCGCCACCTCACCCCTGCAGCTTGCTGCTCTGCTGACAGCCTGGGCCTCCTTAGGATGAAGCAATGCTCCTACCAGCCAACACGCGCTGGGTGTGCGATGCCAGGCAAGCCCCCGGCGGGCCATCCCGGTTAATCCTCCAGAACATCTTGAGGCTGGAGCCACTCTGCACACGAGGGCTGTCCTATCAGTGGGTGAGCACGGCCAGGGTGTAGCCTGAGTTCCAGGTCAGGGGAAGGGGTGGGGGGCCACTCCGAGGGCTGAACCACGTTCATAAAAGCGCCCCCGTTTTGCTGGAAGGGGATCCCTGAAACTTGTCCGTGCCCTTGTTGCCCTCCCCCTGCCCTGCCCTGCCCTGTGGGAGCCTGTGGGAGCCCCTGGGAAGAGGAGGCCTGGAGGTGGGCGTTCATGCTTGCTGCCCTCACTGAAGTCTGCTCTGGGGCCCCTGTGGGGGCGTGTTACCTCCTGGCCCGGCTAGGGTGCATCTTGGGGACAGACGGTGGCAACCATCCCAGAGGGGAGGGGAAACCATCGGGCGGGACGGGGCGGGGCAGACCCGGGGCGGGACCAGCATCTGACCTCAGGGCCAAAACCAGGCCCAGGGAGCACCCTGAGCCGCAAAAGCGGGCGCCCTCAGGCACCATGAGCGGCCGAGTCGGGGACCTGAGCCCTCAGCAGCAGGAGGCCCTGGCCAGGGTGAGGTTCTTCGGGGGTGGGGGGCAGGGCCAGGAGGCTTGGCTTGCCCGCCCCCCCCCCCCCAGCAGCCTGATGCTGGAGCCCCTACTGTACGGAGGGGAAAGGGGACCCTGGAGAGCGCCCCTGCCCAGCCGTGGGCACCTGTGCCCAGTTGCTCGGCCACTGTGGACAGGACGCGGGACAGGAGCCCTTCTCTGGGCCACACTGGGGCCCGACCCAGCTCCCCACTCCTGCCGGCTCCTGGCCACAGAGCCCCCTGGCGCCTATCCCCTGCTGGGGGTGAGGAGTGGGAAGGGGTGGGAAGGGGAGGGGCCCCCCTCCCCCCCTGCCTGTCCTGCTTCTGGACAGTTTAGGGGCAAACAGACTCCCAGATCTCCCGCCCAGATTGCAACATTTGTTTGGCTTCTCTGGGTGGCCTTCTGACTCACCAGGGCCTATGTGGTCTCCAGATCGCCAATGTTTTCATTAAAGGGGAAGGGAAAGGTTGGGGTGATCTCAAGAGGGTCCGCAGGGTAGGCCACACCTGGGAGGGTCCTGGCCGTAGGGAAAGGGGGAGCATGTCCAAGTCATTGGTGCCACAGCATGAATGGGGTTTGCAGGTGGCCAGGGGCTGGGGCTGTGACCTCAGGGTGGGGGGAGGGAGGAGGGAGGCCCAGCCCTGGCTGGCACGTGGGCACTGAAGGGCAGCCTCGGGCTTGTGGGGAAGGGTTTCTGTTGTGGCTCCTCCCCTCCGAGGCCCTGAGGGCCCCCCGCAGAGCCGAATGGGCGCCTCTGGTGGAGGAGGGGCCCTGGGTGAATTCCTACTGGAGGAGAGATGGGTCCCAGGTGAATGATGGGGGCCCTGGGGGGATCCCCAGGTAAAGGAGGAGGTCCCAGGAGCAGAGGGTCCCAGATGAAGGCAGGGTTCTCAGGTGAAAGAGAGCGGGCCCCCGGTGAACCCTCCCCCTCCCCCTCCCACACTGGCAATGGCCTCAGAGAAGCCAGGCACTGGGCCCCTAGCAGGGACTGGACACTTGGCCTTTGGGGGTAAATTCCGGTGGCGATGCTTTAAGCAATGTAAAGAGACTTTAGTCTTAGTTTCATCGTTATTCGAAAGAAATGGGCGCTACTTTTAAAATTAGGGGGCAAGAGCCCAGCTGGCAGGCTCGGTGGTTGAGCGTCGACCTGTGAACCAGGAGATCACGGTTCGATTCGCGGTCAGGGCACATGCCTGGGTTGTGGACTCCATCCCCAGTGGGGAGGCGTGCAGGAGGCAGCCGATCCATGGTTCTCCCTCATCATGGATGATTCTCTCTCTCTCCCTCTCCCTTCCTCTCTGAAATCAATGAAAACATATTTCAAATCATAGATGCAGTATCAGGGGCAACGCTCCTAAAATGTCCTGGTTGGCCTGCATCAAATTCACCAGGGATCTCTGCAGAAATAGGGATAGCAGGGCCCCACCTCAGGCTTATAGAGTGAGGGTCTTGGGGGACAGAGATCCCCCGAAGTTTGAGAAGGACACAACTCTTTCTGCCATGGTGGGATGGGAGGGTGGGTGTGCTCCATTCCCAGGTGGCAGAATGATACAGGTAGCCGCTGCGGACTGTGCAGTCCCTGGGCAGGGTCCCTGGGCAGGGCTGACTGGCTGACTGAGGGTGGGCAGGGTCGGGGATGGGGATGGGGTTGGGGGCCCTGGGGATCATGGCAACCCCTCTGACAATCATATCCCTCCCCTCCCCCCCAGTTCCAGGACAACCTCCAGGACCTGCTGCCCACCATGCCCAAAGCTGACGACCACTTCCTCCTGCGCTGGCTGCGAGGTGAGGGCCTCAGGAGAGGGTGTGGGAGACTTTGGGGGACAGAGCGATAAAGAACACGGGCTCTGAGCCCAGCCAGCGTGGCTCCGTGATTGAGCATCGGCCTATGAACCAGGAGGTGAGGGTTCGATTCCCGGTCAGGGCATGTACCTGGGTTGCGGGCTCGATCCCCAGTGGGGGGCGTGCAGGAGGCAGCCGATCCATGATTCTCTCTCATCATTGCTGTTTCTCTCTCTCGCTCCCTCTCCCTTCTTCTCTGAAATCAATACAAATATATTTTAAAAAGAAAAAAAAGAACTCGGGCTCTGGAGCCCGCCCACTTGGGGCTGGAATCTGAGCTCCCCTTCAGGCTGAGCCTCGGTTTCTTCATCTGCAAATGTGGGATGAGGCCGCCGCCCACTGGCGGTTGTGAGTGTTAAAGGAGAGGGTGTAGAGCCTGGCACCGGCTGGGCACGGGTCGAGGCGAGCTCACAGTTAGCACCTCCCTCGGGAGTTCTCGGGATGACAGGCCTGGCCAGGCCTTGAGTCAGACGTCGCTGAACACGGTCTCGGGGCACCTGCCTCTGAGCCTGTCTCCAGGTCCCTGAAGACAAGGCTGTGTGTCCCCGTAGAGAACCTGGCAGCAAGCAGATGCCCCACAAACACCCCAGGAAGTGGATGTAATGAAAGGTGGGGGAGTTTCTTCCAGGAATGGCTGAGCCCGTGTAAAACGATTAGAATAACAGAAACCCTCCGGGGCTTAGGGGAACCCTGATTTCGACTCAGCGCACCCTGGGGGACGGATTTTGAACTTGATCATTAAGACAGAGCTGGTGGCCTTGGTGGGTTTTCTCTGGAGGTGGGTCCTGGTCAGGGCAGAGAAAGCTTCGTGGTCTCTCTCTCTCTCTCTCTCTTCCCTCCCTGCCTTCCATTCTCTAAAAAAGCAATGGAAAAAATACTCTTGGGTGAGGATTAACAACAAAGGTATTATTCCCATTTAACAGAGTAAAAAACTAAGGCTCAGAGAAGTTAAGCAATAGGCTTAAGGTTGCACAGCAAATAAAAGGACAAAACTAGACTTCAAGTCCAAATCATTCCTGACTCCAAAGCCCAAGCTGTTCAGCAGGGGATCGAACCCACAGCCCTGACATAGTGGGACGACACTCTAACCAACTGAGCTACCAGTTTAGGGTCAGACCGACCTTTAGAATGAAGAGTTTAAAAAGCCCTGCAAACCGAAATCAAGACTTTCTCCAAAGCCTTCTAGAGAATTAAAGATCCTCCCATTTTCACAGACTTGCCAGACCCCCAGTGGATCCTTGGGGTGTCGGGAACAGACAGGGGGCCCCCCACAATGTCCTCATGAGTTTTTCAGAGAATAGCTTGCTCTAGACCCAGCCTCGAGCCTCCTCTTACCTTGACTCTTCCCGCAGCTCAGAACTTCGACCTGAAGAAATCCGAGGACATGCTCCGGAAGGTGAGGCCCCGTTCTCACGCGCTTGCCGCCTCCCGCACGCTGCACCCCAGGGATCAGCCACAAAGGGTGGGGGCCTCGCCCTGTCCTGTTGTCACGTTTCTTCTTCCCCCCTCCTTGGACCCCTTTCGGCATCGGACCTAGGCCCCCCACGGTCCTGCTCCCGGTGTCCGTCCCCCCCACCCCCTGTTCAGTGTCAGCAGAGCCCGGGGGATGCTGTGGCCGGTGGCTTCGAGCAGAGGGACCTTCGGGGCACACAGCCTCCAGGCCCTGCCCTGTCTCCACAGCACCTCGAGTTCCGGAAGCAACAGGACCTGGACAACATCCTCACGTGGCAGCCCTCAGAGGTGAGCCCCACACCATCCCCACCTCACTCCCCCCTCCCCCCCCCCCCCATGTCCAGCTGCCTGATGGAGCAGGGACATGGCCGGGGGGTCCGATTTGAGGGAGGACCTTACCCCAGGTGATCCAGCGGTATGACTCGGGCGGTCTGTGCGGCTACGACTACGAAGGCTGCCCCGTGTGGTTCGACATCATTGGGAGCCTGGACCCCAAGGGCCTCCTCCTGTCAGCCTCCAAGCAGGAGCTGATCCGGAAACGCATCAAGGTCTGTGAGCGGCTTTTGCAGGAGTGTGAGCTGCAGAGTCAGAAGGTGAGTGACCCGGGCTGGGGGTTGGGGAATGTCGGGGGGTAGGGGCGGGGAAGGGGGTCAAGTTAGGCCCACTCTGTCTAAAAGGTGGCACGGGGCCCAGCCGGTGTGGCTCAGTGGTTGAGGGTCGACCTATGAACTCAAGGCCACACAGCCTGCCAACAGCATAGCGCTGCAGACGCTGGTCAACGTAGTATCTATTACTGTATCTAAAGGTGCCTAATGATAAGGAACGAAGATTTTTTTAAAATATATTTTATTGATTTTTTACAGAGAGGAAGGGAGAGGGATACAGAGTTAGAAACATCGATGCGAGAGAAGCATCGATCAGCTGCCTCCTGCACGCCCCCTACTGGGGATGTGCCCGCAACCCAGGTACATGCCCTTGACCGGAATCGAACCTGGGACCCTTCAGTCCGCAGGCTGATGCTCTATCCGCTGAGCCAAACCGGTTAGGGCAGGAATGAAGATTTTTAATTGCATAGCTAACTCATTGCAGGGCTTAAATGCAGCATCTTCTCAGAGCCGCGGCAGGTGCATCTGCTGGGCAAACACTGCGGGCAGCCAGGGGTGGGGGTGGCAGGAAGGTAGGAGCCGGCCCAGGTCTCTGTGCCTGCATCTCCTGTCCGACCTATGTACCTGCTCCGTCCTACGCAGCTGGGCAGGAAGATCGAGACGGTGCTGATGGTGTTTGACCTGGAGGGGCTGGGCCTGCAACACCTGTGGAAGCCAGCTGTGGAGGTCTACCAGCAGGTAAGGTAAGCAGCTGGCTCGAGGTCAATAGGGAGCCACTGCCCACAGCAGCTTCAGTCCATGGAGGAGGGGAACCCCCGCCCCCAGGGGTCCCACCGAGCAGTCAGTGACGCCCACCTTAGGTACCTCCTGCAAGGAGGAAGAGGAGCAGGAGTCTCACAGAGGACGGGGTGGGTGCTCATGGGAAGGCGGGGTGGGCCAGGGGACAGGGGGAGGGGGGCTCTTGCCTCCGCAGCCTCAGAGGCCACCCATCCAGGCAGGAATGTTGGAGTGTGGCCTCAACCCGACTCTTCTTGACGTCACAGTTTTTCGCCAGCATGGAAGCAAATTATCCTGAGACAGTGAAGAATATACTTATTGTTCGAGGTGAGGATTAATGGGGCAGCGGGGAAGGAGTGGAGAATGGGGGTGGGCCGTGGGTAAGCCACCACATTCAGGGCTTCTGAAACCAACCTTTGTGAAGAATGGGTGTTTTTTGTTGTTGTTGGTTTGTTGGTTTTTTGGTGCGTGGGTGTTTTAGCTCAGTGCTTCCCAGGCTGATATTTTGGGGCTATACAAAAGCCTGTGCAGCAATGTCAAATACGTCGTAAGTTTCTAAATGTTTGCTGTTATTTTCTTTACTTATCTGGGTGTGTGCACTGGTAACAAATGGTCTATGGGCCACACGGATTGGTGGACACACTTTGGGCGAGAATAGTCTCTGTCTGTGACAGCCGTATAGTGAGGGGGGTCACCGTATGTGCTCTGGGTCAGATACATACGGTGATGGGAAAACTGAGGCTCAGGAGGTTCCACAGGCTTGCTCAAAGTCACAGGGCTAGCTAGATTGGAAGCTATAGCCCTGTGACTGTGAGCAAGCCTGTGGAACCTCCTGAGCCTCAGTCTTCCCACTCTGTAAAATGGGGATGCGGTGGCACCTTCCCCATGAGACAGCTGTGAGGTGAAGTGAGACAGTCTGTGGAGAAGGCGTAGTACAGAGCCTGGCCCACAGAAAGGTCCTAGTAAGTGTGAGTGGTGCAGGTGGGACATGAGGCCTAAGGCAGATGCCCCACCTAGTTGCACCCAAGAGGAGCTCAAGGCAACCTGGGAAAACCTTGAGTGTGAAAAAGAAGAGGCGGCCACTGGGGAATCAACACTCCTGAAGCCCTACAGCTGAACAGGGAAGCCAGCCACGTATCGCGAGCCAGGCACGGTGCCAAGTGTTATGCATGCACTGTTATGTGGAATCTCCATTTTATATAGTTATAGTTAATAGCACTAAAGCTCAGAGAGGGTGAGTAACTAGCTGAAGGTCACACAGCACAAAGCGTCAGAATCTAGATCTGTCTAACTCCTGTCCGGCCCGCGCCCTCGAGTGGGACTTTACATCTAATCCCAAGTCCTTGCTGGGTCAGTTTCCCAAGGGAGTTTCCTGTGTTTCAGCCCCCAAGCTCTTCCCTGTGGCCTTCAACTTGGTCAAGTCGTTCATAACTGAGGAGACTCGACGGAAGATAGTGATTCTGGGCGGTGAGTGACGTGGCCTCCTGGCTGTGCCCATCTCCCCATCTGCCCAGGGAGCAGAGGTCAGTGCTCACGCCCCCATTTCTCTCTGGCTCATCCTCTTTACCCAGGCACTGACCTCGGCCTGACTCCACTGGCCTTTGCACACTCAGACCAGGCTTTGGGCCTGGACGCCAGCCTGGGTTGCCCTGCCACGCTCTCGGGTGCTCTCATGAGTAGGCACCCAGGGGAGCGAGCCAAGGGCACACCAGGGTCCCTTCCAGGGCTTGGCCCCCTCTGCCTTCTGTCGAGCCCCCCTCTTGCTCCCTCAGGCAACTGGAAGCAAGAGCTGCCAAAGTTCATCAGCCCCGACCAGCTACCTGTGGAATTTGGGGGGACCTTGACCGACCCCGATGGCAACCCCAAGTGCCTGACCAAGGTATGGGGGTGCCCAGAGGATGGGGAGTGAGGGTGGTGATGCCACTCACCCACTCTCACCCACAGATCAACTACGGAGGCCAAGTGCCCAAGAGCTACTACCTGCACAACCAGGTGAAGGTGCAGTATGAGCACACGGCGACCGTGGGCCGCGGCTCCTCCCTGCAGGTGGAGTTTGAGATTCTGTTCCCGGGCTGTGTGCTCAGGTAGGGACGGACGGTGGCCACTGACACCTGGGCACAGCTGGGAGGAGGCTGGAGCCCGGGTATCAGGTGGCCATCAGCGGCGCCCTGTCCCCTGCAGGTGGCAGTTTGAATCAGAGAGGGCGGACATCGGCTTCGGCGTTTTCCTGAAGACCAAGCAGGGGCAGCGGCAGCGGGTGGGGGAGATGACGGAGGTGCTGCCCAGCCAGCGCTACAACGCCCACCTGGTGCCCGAGGACGGGAGCCTCACCTGCCTCCAGGCCGGCGTCTGTAAGAGCCGTAGGGTCCACCAGGGTCGTTTGCTTCCTCCTGGCGAAGGGATGGGCTGACATGGGTGGCCAGTCTGGCTTCTCTCTTTGCCTTTTTTTAAAAAAAATATTTCAGGGCAGAAAGGAGAGGGAGAGAGAGATGGAAACATCAGTGAATGAGAGAGAATCGTTGATCGGCTGCCTCTTGCATGCCCCCTACTGGAGATCGAGCCTGCAACCTGGGCATAGGCCCTGACTGGGAATCGAACCGTGACCTTCTGGTTCAGAGGTCGCCACTCCACCACTGAGCCACGTCGGCCAGGCTATTCCTAATTCTTTAATGAGCACAAGCGTCATCCAAAGCTTTGGATGGCTGTGAGCCATGGGCTGGGGGCTGGGCAGTGGCTGACGCTCCAGCCCCATCCATAGTCCTGGGCGGCCAGTCCCCCAGGGCACCGGGTCTGCAGAGGGCTCGGGCTAGAGCTGCCTGATGGCTTCCTTCTCCGTCCTGGCAGACGTCCTGCGCTTCGACAACACCTACAGCCTGATTCACGCCAAGAAGGTCAGCTACACCGTGGAGGTGCTGCTCCCCGACAGGGCCTCCCAGGAGAAACTCCAGGGTCTCGAGGCGACAAAACCATCCCCGGCACAATGAAGACCCTGCTGCCTCTGCGCCTGGGTTCTCCACCCCCCTCTGCACCCACTCCCTGTCCCCTGCCCGCCCAGGCAGGGTGCTGCTGGGGGCGACCCAGAGGGCACTCACCTCCCATCGCCATCTCAGCTCCTCCTGGCACACCTGGCCCAGGGGCCAAGCAGGAGGTGACACCCTGAGGATCCCGACGGGCATCTGATTACCTGTCTGCAAAGGCGGGGGATGAGAACCCGAGGATGAACCAGCACCCACTGAGGAAGGATTCTGCCTGCAGAGCTGCCCGAGTCCCTCCTGACAACGCCCACCTGTCCCAGGACCACCCCCACCTGGCGCCCGGCGTGGCGGCCTGAGCCCCAGGCCTTGCAGGGAGCACAGCTTCAGGCCCTAAGAGCAGGGAGGCCGCGCTCTCTGCCGGAGGCGGCTCAGCGGGGACGGGCAGGGCCAGCTGGAGGCTTGAGAGTCTGCACAGGAGCTCCGACGCCATGAGGAGCAAACCAGCTAAATGATCAAAACGCTAGCGCCTGTGCGTGAGGCGCTCCTCGTCTGCCGGGGCGCATGAGTGGTTTGGTAAGAAAAGAGACTGCTGTGCCTGCATTAGGGAGATGGCCCGGGGCTGGGTGTCAGGCAGAAACCACGGGACATGGTGTTCCAGGGCTGCTCCCCCATCTCAGAGCGGGCTTTCCCACCACCTGGTGGCCCTTCGCTGTCACCCTCCGTGCAGCCTCCCAGATGCAGCCACATCTGGAGAACCCCGGGGCGCTCGGGCATCCCAGAGCCATTTCCGCTGCCCTTGGCAGGCTAGAGAGGGCACCGTGACCGGGGTTGGGGGGACCCTTTGCCAGGTTTTGCTGGGCCCACCTGTTGCTATGACAGAGGCTCACAATAGGTGACTTCCACCTTCACAATCCCCTGCCTAAAATCAAGCGGTTTAGCCCAGCTGTGGTGGCTCAGGGGTTGAGCATTGACTTATAAACCAGGAGGTCACGGTTCGATTCCTGGTCAGGGCACAGGCCTGGGTTGCGGGCTCGATCCCCAGTGTAGGGCGTGCAGGAGGCAGCCCATCCGTGATTCTCTCTCATCATTGATGTTTCTATCTCTCTCTCCCTCTCCCGTCCTCTCTGAAATCAATAAAGATATATTTTTTCAAAAAACGAAATAGCTCTGAGAGGCACTGGCTGGCTGAGGTTTGTTTCCTTGTTCATCCATTTATTCATCAATGTTTATGGAGCATCCGTCCAGCGCCAGGCACTGCAGGCCCCGGGGGCACCAGGCTACTGGGCTGGCCGGACCCCACTGGCAGGAAGGGTGCCTGTGTTAGAAGAGGCAGAAGTGACTGATGATCCATCACCGAGTGAGCATGTCATCACGGGTGCGCTGGGAGGGGCAGGAGCCAAATTCTGGGGGAGCATGCAACAAAGAAACCCGATGGGGGATCGGATGTGCTTTGCCCACAGGAGGGACCCCTGAAGGGAGAGCTGAAGCATGTGTGTGTGTGTGGCGGGGTGCCTCCCAGACAGGCATGGGGTGGGGGAGGCTGTGGGGTCTGAGCTGGAGGAAAGCCAGGAGGGCTCTCGGGTGACACTTGGGTGACAGCTGACTGATGTGTGTTATTTGCGAGCAACTGGGGACACTCAGTTGCTAATACAACCCTGTCATGATGCAGGTTATGCAACCGAGTCTGTTGTTTGTCAGGAAAGAATGGCAAGATCTTGGCAAGAGCCCGCAGGTCAAAACTCTTTACTCAGGATGAGGTGTTGGGAAATACCTGGCCTCACCTGTCAAGAAAACAGACAAGTCCTGGCTGGTGTGGCTCAGTGGATAGAGCGTCGGCCTGTGGACTGAAGGGTCCCAGGTTCGATTCCTGGTCAGGGCACATGCCCAGGTTGTGGGCTTGATCCCTAGTGGGGGACGTGCAGGAGGCAGCCAATCCATGATTCTCTCTCATTATTGATGTTTCCATCTCTCTTTCCCTCTCCCTTCCTCTCTGAAATCAATAAAGATTTATTTAAAAAAGAAAACAGACAATAAATGTAGGTGAGGGAGTGAAGAAGTCAGAACCCTCCCCCATTGCTAGCGGGGGTGTAAAATGGCGCGCCCGCTCTGGGAAGCAGTTTGGCTGCTCCTCAAAAGGATACGCAAAGAGTGACTATACGACCCAGCAAGGCTGCTCTTAAGGGTGTGCACAAGAGAACAGAAAAGATATGTTTCCACAGAAACTTGCACAAAAAATGTTCATCACAGCCTTCTTTATAACGGCCCCAAAGTGGCAACAACCCCAATGTCCCCCAAATGGGGAATGAATAAACAAGAATGTGGTGATTCTATACAAAAGAATATTCAGCCAGCCCCGGCCGGTGTGGCTCAGTGGTTGAGCGTCCACCTATGAACCAGGAGGTCACGGTTTGATTCCCAGTCAGGACACATGCCTGGCTTGCAGCTCAATCCCCGGTGGGGGGTGAGCAGGAGGCAGCCGATCAGTGATTCTCATCATTGATGTTTCTCTCTCTCCCTCTCCCTTCCTCTCTGATATATATATGATATATATATGTTTATATATATAAATAAACAAAGGAAATGGCCGAAACCGGTTTGGCTCAGTGGATAGAGCGTCAGCCTGCGGACTAAAAGGTCCCAGGTTCGATTCCAGTCGGGGGCATGTACCTGGGTTGCGGGCACATCCCCAGTGGGAGATGTGCAGGAGGCGGCTGATCGATGTTTCTCTCCCATCGATGTTTCTAACTCTCTATCTCCCTTCCTCTCTGTAAAAAATCAATAAAATATATTTTTAAAAAAAAGGAAATGAAAAAGGTAAAAGATGGAACACAGACTGTCCCCCAGGTGCTACCCAGAGCACCACTGGGACTCTGATGAGATGCTCCCCAATTCCCTTTCCATCCCCGCTTTTTAGGCCACCCCCGCCTCACCTTACTGTGGCCTGAGCCCCCATTTCCCTCTCCCCCCAACTTGCCTCTTCCCAGCCATGCTCAGGCCTTTGGCTAGGCTCGAGCTCCCCCTGAGCCCCTTCTGTGCTCCCCCCACTGGTTCTGGTGCGGCCCAGCTAGGGGAAGGCAGGCAGGAATGTCCGAGTGGCAGCCCTCTCACATGTCCTAGTGACCTCCCGGAAAGAGCGGTTCCAGGGTGCGGTGTGGGCGGCCCTGTCTACCTCCTGCAGCTGTTTGCTTATGTCCTGGTTGTCGCCATGGCCCCCTGGCCCCCTGAGAGCTTGGCAAAGAGGAGCTAAACACAACCTGGGGACTTATTTGAGAAGATGTGTCCCATGGGTGGGGGTGGGGATGGGGTTCTCTTCTGCCAGGGGCTTTGCCTCGGGGGAGGGAGATTAATTCCGAGGCCTCGAGACACCCTGCAGCCTGGGGGCCCCACCATGATGATTTGGAACAAGCATGTCAAACTTGTGGCCCGTGGGCCTCCTGCGTCATTTATTCGGCCCATGTTAGCCTTTGAGTTTAACATGCTTGCTTTAGACCCTTTATTGAGCACTAGGTATCAGGCACAAGGGTGAGCTCTCCCAGGGAAGGCAGGGCTTGGCTATGGGTCCAGAGTCAGAGAATCGAAGAAGTGGAAGGCCCGAGAGAGGGAGACAGCTTTCTGAGCCCCCCGCCTCCCTGGTGTGGCTCAGTGGTTGAGCGGCAACCTATGAACCAGGAAAAGCACTTTGTAGGGGTGTCTCTGAAAGGCCACAGCTGCTGAGAGGACCCCCAAACCCTCCCCCTGGCTCTCCCTGCCCAGCCTCTGAGGTGCCCAGAAGTAGCTGGGGCACCTCCCATGAGAGGGATTAGGGCGAGAGAAAGGAGACGGGTGAGAAACAGGCAGGATTAGGCTGGGAGAGGGCAGCGGGAGGAAGTGGGCGTGGGGGGCAGCTGAGGCCGTGCAGAAAGAGGCTGGAATGTGAAGTGGGGAGGGACGGGGTGTGGAGGGTTAGCTAACCGCCCCTGAGTGTTTGGGGCAGGCACCCCACATAGATGGAGATGCCACCACAGGCCCCTCCTCCTCTCGACCACCTCTATCAGGGCCCAGAGCAAGGGAGGTGTCCAGCACTACCCACATCCGCCAGCCTAAAGGGCCCGAGAGAGCCCGGGGGGGGGGGGCGGGGGGGCGGGCAGGATGCCCGAGGGCTAGGGGTCCTGGGCGAGCCCAGCTATTGGGGCCGAGGCCAGCCCAGGGGTGGTTTCAGCCCATGTGGCAGCCTCAAGGCCTGCAAGATGTGGCCACAGGGGCATGCTGTGGTCTCAGGCTGATGCATTATTTTTTTTAATATATATTTTTATTGATCTCAGAGAGGAAGGGAGAGGGGGAGATAGAAACATCAATGATAAGAGAGAATTATTGATGGGTCCCCCACTGGGGATGCAGCCCAAAACCCGGGCATGTGCCCTGACTCGGAAGCGAACCTGGGATCCTTCAGTCCACAGGCTGATGCTCTGTCCGCTGAGCCACACCAGCCAGGGCTCAAGCTGATGCATTCCTGACGGGCAGTCGTTAACAATGTGGCCTCTGCTTCTGACGGCTGAAGGAGAGTGATCCCTTAGATGGGTACAACCCTGGACAGTCTACATGGCTCATTAGATCTTCCCTCCAACCACGTAAGGAGGGCAGGGTAAGCGTTGACCCCCCACCCCCGCCCAACCCCCTATTCTATAAATGAGGCAGTGACCCTAAGATGTCATCGTAAAAGGGAGGCCTCTAGCCCGGCCGGTGGGGCTCAGCAGATTGAGCATGGCCTGTAGGGCCCAGCCTTGGTTCCCATGCCCTGGGAGGCCAGCCTCGTTCCCTCCCAGCCTCCGTGCCTGCCTGCCCCTCTGGCCCAGAGCCAAACACGGGACCTCACTTAATCCCAATTATGTAAGGTGCCACTCGACAGTTGTCCGGGGAGGAGGTGCCCGGAGCCACACCCAGCAAAGGGGCAAAAGGCCGGCTGGCTCAGGGCTCCAGACCAGGCTTGGCCGCTGCCTACAGTGGTCCCTCCTCCTCCAGCTCGCCCAGCACCATGAGCGGCCGAGTCGGAGACCTGAGCCCCAAGCAGGCAGAGACCCTGGCCAAGGTGAGAGTCCCTCCCCTGCAGCCCCAGGGAGGAGGGCTGGGGGGCAGAGGAGGGGCGGTGGCTGCCGCCCTGCCTTACTCTGTTGGCTCAGCATGTCCTCGACATTATCTCTCTGCCGTCACCTCTCCCAGGGTCAGGTCTCACAGTGACATCAGCCCTTTCCGGGGAAGGGGTTGAGGGACCAGCACTACGTCCGATCAGTAGTGGGGGGACCAGCTCAAGCCTGACCTCTTCTCGTTCAGGAGCCAGACCCAGAGCTTTCTCTGAAAGCTGCCCCCTTCCCCACCCTCCCAGGCCCCTCAGGTGGGAGCTGAAGGGTGCTGGTGGTGCCCTCCTGCGGTTCCCACCCCTCCCAGGACCCTGAGAGGTGACCGGTGTGTGAGAGCCAGGAAGACAGAGCAGGGGGAAGGAGGATACATGATCCTTAACCATGGTTTGGTAGAAGACAGGACTTTTTAGAAAGGCAGGAGAGCTCTAGCCAGTTTGGCTCAGTGGACAGAGCACTGGCCTTTGGACTGAAGGGTCCCAGGTTCGATTCCGGTCAAGGGCACATACCTCAGTTGCAGGCTCAATCCTCGTGTGGGAGGCAACCAATCAACGTATCTCTCTCACATCGATGTTTCTCTCTCTCTCTCTGCCTCTCCCTTCCACTCTCTCTGAAAAAAAATCAATGGAAATATATCCTCTGGTGAGGATTCACAAACAAACAGCAACCAAGAGGCAGGAGCCTGGGTGGGCTGACACACAGAAGGAATGAAGAGTACAGGAGTCTATCCTTATCCACCACATCGCTTTCCACGTTTTCAGTTACCCACTGTCAACCCCTGGTGGTCAGTGAGCTCCCACAGCCAACCTCCTGCGGCCGGCCAACCTCCCGTGGTTCCTTCCCCCCCTCCCCCTCCTGCGAGACGGCCCTGATCAGCCCCCATCACCGGCCAGGCCTAGTGATCCCACCTGTGCACGAATTCGTGCACCGGGCCTCTA